AATTTTAAAATATTTGCAGAGTTTCTTTTTTATCTTCCTTAGAACACGACGTACAGACCATGATAATCATGGTGGGTAGTTAGCGACAGCTTTTACTCTAAGTGTACTAAATGTCTATATAGCCAGTTTCTTCCTAAAGTATTGAACACTACACTAAATAAGGAAACTCCGCAAATATTTTTTAAATTTATTTATTTCAATTATAATATTATTTTCATCTACACCCATACCTCACTTTGAGTCGGGGTTACGTTCCAAAAAAACACGACGCAAAGTGAAAATATGGGAAGGCGCAATCAAAAACAAAGGTGTTGCCATATTTTTAGGAAAAAAAAAATCAAAAAAAAAAAATTAAAGACTCGAATCCAAAACAACGCAACTTCGAAAATCTAACGACGCACAGTGAAAATCAGTAAAAATTAAGCAGCGACGCAACTTCGAAAAAAAAACGCAAAACGAAACGACGCAAAGCGAGGTATTGGTGTAAATTTCAAGTAAAAATTACCAATCAGTTGGATATATGGGCTAGCGGAGACTTTTACCAACATATATGGTCTAGATTCAGGATTGAGCAGTCTAGACACGTCTCTAAGTGTTCTACTTCCCTATAGATTACCATCATAGCATGAAGATATATCCGAGATATTCTGGTGTTCCAATCTCTACTTATCCAACATCCAATCAAGGATACCTATCTTCAACATCCAACATCCGTAAAGGAAATTTTTGACCGTTTCTGTATATTCAACAAAACCATTCAATTTACTAACGTTTATCCCATATCATAAAAACGAATCACTGAAGATTGGAGATGTTACTTTGCTAACTGAACATCATTCAGTGGATTTCGAACGCTTTCTCAATCTTAGGTTATCATGAAATTGAAGTCATCCTAACGAGTTGAAAGCAAAAAGCATAAATCTTAGGTCATAGAAATGAAGTTAAACTTGAGTTAATCGGAAGAGGAACGAGGTTTCTATCGAATATTATAATCAGAAAAAGAGAAAATAACTGGATGATACACATGGACAAAACTTAAGGGAGTTATCCCTTTTACCATGTATATCGGGATTCAGACAATAACTCTGATAGATATGACAGTGACCTTTATTGAAGACATACGAGATAACCAAGTGTGAAAAAAATTGCTTCTATCTTCTTAAAAGAAAATAGACGACAGGCGATATTAAAGAATTTCTACTTCCCCAAGTTTTTTTTTTTATCTATGAGTGCATTATTTATAAAGACTTTTCTTTCTAAAGATAAAAGAAAAAGTCTCTAAACAGTATGTTTTACTTTTCATTTGACTTAAAGGACGTTTGGCCTATGATTAGGTTTGTAATTTAGTAAAAAAAAAGAGAGAAATCTTCTTTGTATCAAACGTTTTCTTCTCAGTACATCTTGGAATGTGGTAGATAGTTTGCTTTTATTTCTAAAGATGAAAGAAAAAGTCTCTAAACTGTATATTTTGTACTTTTGCATTTGACTTAGAGGACGTTTGGCTTCTGATTAGGTTTGTGATTTAAGAAAAAATAAATAGAGATCTTCTATATATCAAAAATGTTTTCTTCTCAGCACATCTTGGAATGTGGTAAGATACATTTTAATTTTAGAAAAAAGGCCGAGAAGCGATGGAATGTGATATGAGGAGTTATACATTCAAGAGTAAGTATTCAGAATCTACAAATCCTCCTCAAAATGATGTTAGAGGTTACCAGAATAAACTTCGCCACTTGTGTAACAAGCAGAAAAGCTCCACACCGATATTCGGCCAAATAGAACAAACCGGACGGCCAAGATGGTCGGTCGACCCGGTGCCACGGAAACAAAACCTTTTTAAGGACATCGCATTCCAAACGTTTTGCCATTTTGTATTCTGGTTTTAGCGAACGGTCTTATCTGCAGGTTGTTATAGACATTTGAGATATAATAAATGTAAGTATTGATCACGAAAATGTTTCTTTTACCAATAAAACAAACTTTCTGCTATCCTTCCTGCAATGAAAAATAGTGGGAGGGCTTAGCTCATCAGTGGTGAACCCTTTTATTTCGCTATCTACTGTATTGGACGATTTTTCTTACACTCATGAACAAAACTTAAGGACGTTTCATATTTTGATGTCTCCGGTCGTCTATATGTTATATTAAAATATTATTTTATTTAAAAAAATATATATTTCATAGATATAAATACTCTGTATAAATCGACCGCCAGAGGTCACGCTTTCTCTATAAATACTCCTTGTTGTTCTTCCCCGATTGGCCGACCCAAAACATTTGTATATTATGTAAATACGCTTTTCATTTTTTTTTATTCTTACGCCTTAAGCCAGGCAGTACTTGTACAAAATTATGTTTTTCATATGAATTCCTCAGCTCAATAAAGAAATCACTAATCAAGACATTATATTTTCAAGATTATTGTTCGACCACGACTGCACCACCATAGCATAATCATCAATATGATCCAAAACAACAGAAATCTTATTTTTTTTTAAATATAATATATATATATATATATTGTAAATAATTTTATTTTCTACATAAATTATATTTTTATTAATACTTTATTGTTTATTTCATAGATGAACTCTGTGACGCCGAGAAGTCCAGACGGCGCTAATGTAGATATAAATATTGTTTTTTTTTTGTTTAGTCGAGTTAGTTAGACTTTTTTTTGTTATCAAATATGTAAATTTACTATATTTTTGTTTAATTAAGTTTTTTTTTCTCTCAAGATTGAGGTATTCTACCTGTTCTCAAGTTTTTTTTTTAAAGAGACAGAGGTAATTTCGTTCACACTTGGTTATCTCGTGTGTCTTTAATAAAGGTCACTGTAATATCTTTCAGAGTTATTGTCTGAATCCTGATATACATGCTAAAAAGTATAACTTCCTTAAGTTTTGTCCATGAGTGTATATTGGTTATCTCGTGTGTCTTCAATAAAGGTCACTGTTAAAATAAAAACATAAATCCTCCAGGGAAAAGATTCTTTTAAAAATATTTTTATTTAAAAATATCTCGAGCTTTCGGGCAAGTACGCCCTTCTACGGGAGAAAAATCTTTACATCCTTAATACGCCACAATAAAATAATATTTAAACTTAAATACAGTTCTTTAGTTGTTTACATTTGTTTTGAGGCATAATCAACGCGGGCTTCTATTGCGCGTGATTCACTTGGAGGTTATGGGGTGGGCTCAGGAAATATAATGTTATAAACTTCCGGGATATCTATTCTTCTGTTAATACTATTGTGCTTTCTGGATATGATGGATTCTATTATTAGTCTCTGTAGTCTATTGGGGATGTTGGAGTAATGGGTCTTTGGTTCTGATAGGGAGAAGGAATGGCCTGTTTCTCTTATATGTTGGTATACTAAAGATCTACTGTCTTGGTTGTCGATATTTCGTTTGTGTTCTGATACTCTTATATTTAAATGTCTGCCAGTTTCGCCAACATATTTGGTTTTGCATTCGTTGCATTCTATGGAATATATGGCATTCTTAATATTGGAAGGATAATCAACGGTATTGTTCTTTGTTATGGGGTTTCTTAGTAACGAATTTAAATTAGGTGAGTTGCTGAAAAATGTTTTGATCCCAAATTTCTTCAGATGACGGGCTATAGAAATAGATACTGGTGAATAAGGAATACTGCTAATAGATTTATAGATTGGGGAATTCCGAATTTCAGAGGGGCTATAGAAATGTCTTAGAATAAACGATAAAGGATATTGACAAGTCTTCAGATTTCTTAATATATTCTGAGTTTCTTCTGTTTCAAATTTAAATATAAGAGTATCAGAACACAAACGAAATATCGACAACCAAGACAGTAGATCTTTAGTATACCAACATATAAGAGAAACAGGCCATTCCTTCTCCCTATCAGAACCAAAGACCCATTACTCCAACATCCCCAATAGACTACAGAGACTAATAATAGAATCCATCATATCCAGAAAGCACAATAGTATTAACAGAAGAATAGATATCCCGGAAGTTTATAACATTATATTTCCTGAGCCCACCCCATAACCTCCAAGTGAATCACGCGCAATAGAAGCCCGCGTTGATTATGCCTCAAAACAAATGTAAACAACTAAAGGACTTTATTTAAGTTTAAATATTATTTTATTGGCGTATTAAGGATGTAAAATAGTTTCTCCCGTAGAAGGGCTTACTTGCCCGAAAGCTCGAGATATTTTTAAATAAAAATATTTTTAAAAGAATCTTTTCCCTGGAGGATTTATGTTTTTATTTTAATATTGATTCAAGGGATTATTTTTATCGAAAGGTCACTGTAATATCTTTCAGAGTTATTGTCTGAATCCTGATATACATGTTAAAAGGTACAACTTCCTTAAGTTTTGTCCATGAGTGTATATTGGTTATCTCGTGTGTCTTTAATAAAGGTCACTGTAATATCTTTCAGAGTTATTGTCTGAATCCTGATATACATGTTAAAAGGTACAACTTCCTTAAGTTTTGTCTATGAGTGTATATTGGTTATCTCGTGTGTCTTTAATAAAGGTCACTGTAATATCTTTCAGAGTTATTGTCTGAATCCCGATATACATGCTGAAAGGTACAACTTCCTTAAGTTTTGTCCATGAGTGTATATTGGTTATCTCGTGTGTCTTTAATAAAGGTCACTGTAATATCTTTCAGAGTTATTGTCTGAATCCTGATATACATGTTAAAAGGTACAACTTCCTTAAGATTTGTCCATGAGTGTATATTGGTTATCTCGTGTGTCTTCAATAAAGATCACTGTAATATCTTTCAGAGTTATTGTCTCAATCCCGATATACATGCTAAAAGGTACAACTTCCTTAAGTTTTGTCCATAAGTGTAAATACGCGACAATGAAAGATGGAATCATAGTTGTAGTGTTTTAGAAAACTATGGACATAAGCTTTTAGGAGAGTAAAATTACATTGAAATATTCACATCGTGCAATGCTCTTTCACAAACAATAAAAAAAAACAAGGCCAATTGTACTGGGTAACCTAATGGACATGGGATCTGCCCGTTAAGCGGAACATTGTGGGTTCGGTTCCCATCCCTGGACACTTTATTTTTCCGTTTATCATTACTCTTCACAATTCATCCTTTCATACTTCATCCCTAAGGTTAGAAATAATCGTTATTTCTCCTTAAAATAAATTTCGATTTTTCGTTCAAAAGAAACATTTGCGATAAAATTGCCAATTGTCGTTCTACAATCATAAGCCGCATTATATTGTATTATAAACTGATTAGCCAAGCACTTCCAATTTCAAAAGGACAGTAGAATTTTGTTTAATTTTATTTGTAAAAGAAACATTGATGTTTAATACTTACGTTTCAGATAGCTCGTTCATTTGAACTTTTCAACCATTAATGCTCGTTTCTGACAAACGGTTTCAAACGGTTGATTATTAGCGGTCTTTTTTTTCACACACACAAAGATTTATTAAGACCAGCGGTCTTATACAGATTCAGCACAGGAAGAAATAATAGATGGAGATCCTATACTCCAGGTAGCGCAGCACCCAACAACAGCCTCCAGGTCCGACACATGTCCAATGGTCACACGTTCCTTTGTGCATACGTCATGGTTAGCGAATCACTGAACAGGCGAGTGTGGAATCAGCCGTGTTCTAGTCTTCGCTTTCCTCATCCAAATGGACCACGGCATTCGGCGAACCTATTAGCGGTATTTGAGATTCAGTTGAACTCCTTTTAACAACAAGTCTTTTAGCAATCGGCATGTAACTGGTTGTTTAGTGGCAATTTGGATTGTTTGTTTAGTTGACCTCTCTTTAAACGATTAATTCTCTTTTAACAATCTTTCTGGAAAATTATTGTTATTAAGGTCTTTAGGAAAACGTGTTTTGCAATTTTTAGTTTTGAACCACTCTATATATAAATAATTATTAATGGGTTGACATGGATTGATGTTAACATTTCAGATGGTGAGTTGAGACGTATAGATCAATACCACTCAACAGCTGGCCATGAAGACAGGTCCGTGGAACATTTTGAACGATCCTCGAAATTTTTTACCTGTCAGCGTTAGAAAATATCTTATTAAAGAACTTAATAATAATCAAATTCTGTGAAATATTTTTACGTTATACACACTGTCTCAATTTTACAAATGCTATCCTTAACCCATATAGCAATTCTTTAAAACCTATTAAGTAGAGAGTAAAGCTTTTGTTGTTGTTGTTGAAAAACACACACAAACACCGGTCTGAGAAAATGTTTTTAAATTACCGGTCCGAAGAATAAAAAAAAAAATTATGAGAAATGCTGGGTATTCAACAATCAGTACTTGCACAACAATGATTAGGAAACTTCGATTATTAAAATTGTTAGGTTTTTAAAAATTATTATTATTGTATTTTATTAATTAATTATAATTCATATTCATAGAATTTTATTGTTACTTATCATCATTCTTTTTTTTTTTTGTGTGTACTAATATAGTCTCTTTTTTCTTTTGTGTTAAAAAATACAAATAAATCGCATTAAATCTTAGTGTAATTCTTTTTTGTTGTTTGAAATAAATCGAATTGAATCGAAGTGAGTCAGCTCGTTCTTTCTAAAAGAAAGTTCAAAGAAAACGTGCTAACAAACATTTTGTATAAATATCAACATTTGGCAAACTACATATATAGCAACTCGATTCTTTTATTAAACTTCACAAAAAATTCTAGCATTCGAGTACAAACTCTTCCTCATACATTACTGATAAAGAACCTATGCTCGAAAGTTGTTATTTTATGGGAAGTTCAATAAAGAAAATCTGTTTACTGATATAAGGTACAATTTAGATTATATAGATTAGAATCAAAAGGTAACAAGATCAAATCTCTTTAAATTATAATCTATAATCCAAATTGTTCTTTGTATATGTAAATGAGTTATTAAATTATTCATTCCTTTAGTTAAACATTAGTTAAGGATAAGTCCAAACGCTAAACTGGTCTCGTCCCTGATAATCTTTCGTCCTTAGGTACATATATGTGTGTATAACGTCATTTGAAAATTATCTCGCATGTGTTTCATTTGAACGAAAAATAGAAATTTATTTTAAGGAGAAATAACGATTATATCTAACCTTAGGGATGAAGTATGAAAAGATGAATTGTGAAGAGTAATGATAAACGGAAAATGGGCAACTCTGTGCTTCACTTCCATCAATAATTGACAATATGACCCAGAATAAGTATATTGCTACGGCGTTTTATGGTTTCCACAAGTCCGTATCTCAGAAGAAGGCCAAGTGACACTCACTCCTCACTTTCTTACTGCTACTCTTTTTGTGTTGTTTTTCTTGCTTCCCTCTTTCTCTTTCTTGTTTTTTTTTCTTTTTCTTCTGTCTATATCGTTATTTCCTTTGTCTCACTGCCTTGTTCTTATGCATACCTCTGGTGAATACTGTATAGGGTCAGTGACCCTAAATAAAGGCTTGTTGTTGTTGATAAACGGAAAAATAAAGTGTCCAGGGATGGGAATCGAACCCACTGTATTCCGCTTACCGGGCAGATGCCATGTCCACTAGGCTATCCTGGACATATTTTTCCGTTCGTAAATATCACAAAAAAACACACATGTGTATAGGTTATGTGCACACTACAGGGATCTGTGTGGATCCACCCAAGCGTCCAACTTGCACACAAGTAACAAGGTTACACACAAGTGCCCCGGCGGAAGTGGCCAGCACAGGAAGTGCTACGTCACAGCCGGGTACCCTCACGCCATGGTAGCTAATGGTGCGTGGGGGCACCACTAGACTCTGTGTTTGAACCAAACTTCTACATACACAGGGCCACCCCCAGCGTTGGCTGGCTGGATAGAGGAGAGAAGTTGTCTATTTAAAATTCAAATAGATCTTAGCATTCTTTGATAATTAAAAAATAAATAATATAAACAATAGACAATTTAAATATTTATTTTCGCTTCTAACCAATGGTTAAGAAAATAATTTTAAAAAATTATAAAAAATATATACAAAAGATTATGTAGGGAAATATATATAGTTGTATATGTCATCAAATTATAAAACTATTTTAGACGCGTAATATTCTTTAAAACAAGGTCTTCTTGAACACTCTTCAGTTCTAGGCCGAAGAAAAATTTATATATGCAGGTTTTAGCAGACACTAGGATGGTAAGGGAGTCTTCATCCAGGCCATGCCAGAAGACGCAGACCTGCAGGTCAGGAGACCGCTAGATGATGGTAAATGCCTTTTTTGATATAGAGATAACAGTTTTAAAGTATATATGGGAATTTTGCCGGGAGGATATTGATCTAAAGAGACAAAGGGTCGCCTCTCCCGTCAAAATAGACGTCAAAACTAGACGCCATCTATGGCGCCTATTTTGACGGGAGAGAGGCGACCCTTTGTATCTTTAGATCAATATCCTCCCGGCAAAATTTCCATCTATATTTTAGCCATAGATTTGGCCCAGCCACTTTGTCAGCTAAACACCTCTTTGGTAGATTGTCAAGATTCCATTATATCCCGTGTGGATATCATGGAATAAAGTCCGCCCTAGACTGACGAGGGCCTTCAGCCCGAAACAATGGTCTCTAGGTGGACGCTTTTCAGTTTGCCAAAGCTGGTGTTGTGGCTTTGTCACCGACCCGAGGCCGCTAGTTTGCGGTGACGGTCAATAGATGGCGTCTAGATTTGACGTCTATTTTGACGGGAGAGGCGACCCTTTGTCTCTTTAGTTTTAAAGTAGTTTGGAAAGTAATTTCTTATTCCATCTTCAGGTTCTATACTTTTTACCAGGTTACGATTCCTATTGTCGTCATACTTCTCTATCTTGAGTTCTTTATTTCTTCATAACTTCCCATCCAGTCCATCAGTCCAATTCTTCAGTTTCTCTGTTCTTGTCCAGGTCTCCAGTGACGTCATACTTCTCTATCTTGAGTTCTTTATTTCTTCATAACTTCCCATCCAGTCCATCAGTCCAATTCTTCAGTTTCTCTGTTCTTGTCCAGGTCTCCAGTGACGTCATACTTCTCTATCTTGAGTTCTTTATTTCTTCATAACTTCCCATCCAGTCCATCAGTCCAATTCTTCAGTTTCTCTGTTCTTGTCCAGGTCTCCAGTGACGTCATACTTCTCTATCTTGAGTTCTTTATTTCTTCATAACTTCCCATCCAGTCCATCAGTCCAATTCTTCAGTTTCTCTGTTCTTGTCCAGGTCTCCAGTGACGTCATACTTCTCTATCTTGAGTTCTTTATTTCTTCATAACTTCCCATCCAGTCCATCAGTCCAATTCTTCAGTTTCTCTGTTCTTGCCCAGGTCTCCAGTGACGTCATACTTCTCTATCTTGAGTTCTTTATTTCTTCATAACTTCCCATCCAGTCCATCAGTCCAATTCTTCAGTTTCTCTGTTCTTGTCCAGGTCTCCAGTGACGTCATACTTCTCTATCTTGAGTTCTTTATTTCTTCATATCTTCCCATCCAGTCCATCAGTCCAATTCTTCAGTTTCTCTGTTCTTGTCCAGGTCTCCAGTGACGTCATACTTCTCTATCTTGAGTTCTTTATTTCTTCATAACTTCCCATCCAGTCCATCAGTCCAATTCTTCAGTTTCTCTGTTCTTGATCAGGTCTCCAGTGACGTCATACTTCTCTATCTTGAGTTCTTTATTTCTTCATAACTTCCCATCCAGTCCATCAGTCCAATTCTTCAGTTCCTCTGTTCTTGTCCAGGTCTCCAGTGACGTCATACTTCTCTATCTTGAGTTCTTTATTTCTTCATAACTTCCCATCCAGTCCATCAGTCCAATTCTTCAGTTTCTCTGTTCTTGATCAGGTCTCCAGTGACGTCATACTTCTCTATCTTGAGTTCTTTATTTCTTCATAACTTCCCATCCAGTCCATCAGTCCAATTCTTCAGTTTCTCTGTTCTTGTTCGGGTCTACAGTGACGTCATACTTCTCTATCTTGAGTTCTTTATTTCTTCATAACTTCCCATCCAGTCCATCAGTCCAATTCTTCAGTTTCTCTGTTCTTGTTCGGGTCTTCAGTGACGTCATACTTCTCTATCTTGAGTTCTTTATTTCTTCATATCTTCCCATCCAGTCCATCAGTCCAATTCTTCAGTTTCTCTGTTCTTGTCCAGGTCTCCAGTGACGTCATACTTTTCTATCTTGAGTTCTTTATTTCTTCATAACTTCCCATCCAGTCCATCAGTCCAATTCTTCAGTTTCTCTGTTCTTGATCAGGTCTCCAGTGACGTCATACTTCTCTATCTTGAGTTCTTTATTTCTTCATAACTTCCCATCCAGTCCATCAGTCCAATTCTTGAGTTTCTCTGTTCTTGTCCAGGTCTCCAGTGACGTCATACTTCTCTATCTTGAGTTCTTTATTTCTTCATAACTTCCCATCCAGTCCATCAGTCCAATTCTTCAGTTCCTCTGTTCTTGTCCAGGTCTCCAGTGACGTCATACTTCTCTATCTTGAGTTCTTTATTTCTTCATAACTTCCCATCCAGTCCATCAGTCCGATTCTTCAGTTTCTCTGTTCTTGTCCAGGTCTCCAGTGACGTCATACTTCTCTATCTTGAGTTCTTTATTTCTTCATAACTTCCCATCCAGTCCATCAGTCCAATTCTTCGGTTTCTCTGTTCTTGTCCAGGTCTCCAGTGACGTCATACTTCTCTATCTTGAGTTCTTTATTTCTTCATAACTTCCTATCCAGTCCATCAGTCCAATTTTTCAGTTTCTCTGTTCTTGTCCAGGTCTCCAGTGACGTCATACTTCTCTATCTTGAGTTCTTTATTTCTTCATAACTTCCCATCCAGTCCATCAGTCCGATTCTTCAGTTTCTCTTTTCTTGTCCAGGTCTCCAGTGACGTCATACTTCTCTATCTTGAGTTCTTTATTTCTTCATAACTTCCCATCCAGTCCATCAGTCCAATTCTTCGGTTTCTCTGTTCTTGTCCAGGTCTCCAGTGACGTCATACTTCTCTATCTTGAGTTCTTTATTTCTTCATAACTTCCTATCCAGTCCATCAGTCCAATTTTTCAGTTTCTCTGTTCTTGTCCAGGTCTCCAGTGACGTCATACTTCTCTATCTTGAGTTCTTTATTTCTTCATAACTTCCTATCCAGTCCATCAGTCCAAATTTTCAGTTTCTCTGTTCTTGTCCAGGTCTCCAGTGACGTCATACTTCTCTATCTTGAGTTCTTTATTTCTTCATAACTTCCTATCCAGTCCATCAGTCCAAATTTTCAGTTTCTCTGTTCTTGTCCAGGTCTCCAGTGACGTCATACTTCTCTATCTTGAGTTCTTTATTTCTTCATAACTTCCCATCCAGTCCATCAGTCCAATTCTTCAGTTTCTCTGTTCTTGTCCAGGTCTCCAGTGACGTCATACTTCTCTATCTTGAGTTCTTTATTTCTTCATAACTTCCCATCCAGTCCATCAGTCCAATTCTTCAGTTTCTCTGTTCTTGTCCAGGTCTCCAGTGACGTCATACTTCTCTATCTTGAGTTCTTTATTTCTTCATAACTTCCCATCCAGTCCATCAGTCCAATTCTTCAGTTTCTCTGTTCTTGACCAGGTCTCCAGTGACGTCATACTTCTCTATCTTGAGTTCTTTATTTCTTCATAACTTCCCATCCAGTCCATCAGTCCAATTCTTCTTACCGTTCTCTCTCCATCCATTTCACCTTCCAGAACTTTCTTTACCAAACTCTTTCCTTTTAATACACTCATGAACAAAACTTAAGGAAGTTCATATTTTGATGTCGTCGGTCGTCTATTATAATATATATATTTTAAAGGAGACAGAGGCAATTTTGTTCACACTTGGTTATCTCGTGTGTCTTCAATAAAGATCACTGTAATATCGTTCAGAGTTATTGTCTGAATCCCGATATAAAAGCTTGAAAGGTACAATTTCTTTAAGTTTTGTCCATGAGTGTAAATACAGGTTTTAGAAGAAGAAACAAAAGAAGGGAAAAAGGTAAAAGAGCCTTTTTTATAAACGGACGATTGTACAAGCTTTCCGACAAAATGCCTTCTACGGGTACTTGTAGGGTATATTTACCGAAAGCTTGTACTGTAACGGCAGCTGGCATGCCTATATAGTAAATTATCAGTGAGCACATATTTATCACTGATGATACTCTGTGCAGTTGCCTTTTGACTTATTGTAATATATATCACATGTAAACTTATGTCTGATATATTATGTCTGATGTTAGCCAAAAAGAAATAAAGTCTTTTCTTTTTTAACTTCCAAGTACTTCTTGCTGATTAACGTCAACCAACAAACACGAGGACGTTACATGTAATATCATTCTCTTATAAAAGAAGCTCTACTCCCTAACTTGTATTTCTTCTTATAAATTTGTATATACACTCATGGACTTAAGGAAGTTGTACCTTTTAGCATGTATATCGGGATTCAAACAATAACTCTGAAAGATATTACAGTGACCTTTATTGAAGACACACGAGATAACCAATATACACTCATGGACAAAACTTAAGAAATTTGTACCTTATAGCATGTATATCGGGATTCAGACAATAACTCTGAACGA